AGGACCTGGAATCACCCTGTGTCCATCAGCAGATGAGTGGATAAAGAACACAGTGTGTGCACAGCTGATACTCTTAACAGGAAGGAAGTCCTGTCAGCCTGCATAGACCTAGAGGACATTGTGTTAAGTGCAATAAGTCAGGCACAAGCAAAGATCACAAAATGTCACCTGCGTTTTGGTCAAATCTGAGAAAGTTGAATTCATAGAGCAAGTAAGTCAAATGGTGATTACCAAGGACTTGGAATGGGGGAGCAAATTAGGGCAATGTTGTCCAGAGAACACAAAATTTCAGTTAGGAATAAGTTCAAGAAATCTATTAGAGAACACAGTGACCATAGTTGATGACATTGTATCATATTGATAGACGAGAGGCAGAGGCAGGCAGATGTCTGAGTTCAAGGCCAGCCTGGTCTATACAGTGAGTTCTAGGTCTCAAAAAGACCAAAAAAGAAAATTGCTGACAGAAAAAATTATATATGAGGTAAAGCATAGGTTAATTAACTTGATATTAGCTATTCCATAATGTATACATACTTCAAAATGTGTACACGGTGTGCTGGATAGCTTTAGTGTCAACTTGACACACCTGGGTTGAGGGAGCCTCAATTGGGGAATTGCCTCCATTGGACTGGCCTGTGGCCATGTCTGAGGGGCATCTTCTTGATGAGTGATGTGGGAGGGCCCAGCCCACTGTGGGTGGTGCCACCCCTGGGCAGGTGGGCCTGTGTTGCATAAGAAAGCAGGCTGAGCTTGGACCAGGGGAGCAAGCCAGTAAGCAGCATTCCTCCATGGCCTGTGCTCCAGCTCCTGCTTCCAGGTTCCTGCCCTGAGTTCCTACCTTGGGCTCCCTGATGAACTGCGACCTAGGAGTTGTGAGCAGAATAAACCTTTTCCTCCCCAAGTTGGTAGTGGTCAGAGTATTTTGTCACAGCAATGAAGAACAAACTAAGACACACGGTAAATATATGCAAAATGTAATTTGTCAAAAAGTAAATAAACTCACCTAAAGGCTCCATTATGGAAGCATGGTTTTAAGATCTACAGAACTATCAAACTCGTTCCACATTCCTGTGCTGCTTCAGTTGTGCTTACTAGGCAGTGTGATGGAAGGCAGGAGGGAGGGACAGAGAGAGGGAGGGATAGATTTCACCCCACAAAAATAGCTTTACTGAAAACCTTTACCTTCCAGAAAGTTACAAAGAAAGCCAGAGTCCATAATTCTATAAGGGGTCTTGACAGGGATACTTAAACTGGGATCTGCAAATAGTCTTTAGGAGCCTATAAACTGCAGAAAACTATAAGTAAAAGGTATAGACTTGGGCTTAGTTTTCAGTTCCTTTGACAAGAGATCTGTGACCTAATAAAAGGAATTTGGAAAATCAACAGTTTTAGCATGTTTGCAAAAATGGGTTTTGAAAGAAATGTGTTATTCCCAGCAGGCTGATGTGGGGATGGCCGGCCACCCTGCGCTGCCTTGTGACGTAGTGTCTTGAGCTGTCTGCAGACTACCTCTTGGAAATGCTGTCAGGAGGACCTGGGTGAGAGGACCTCTGAGGTCCTGGTGTTCTTTGGCTCTCAAGAAGGCCATTTAAAGAGCCAAGCTGAGCTTCTTGGAGAAAATCAAGAGAATAAGGCTTAGGACCCAGGAATGTGTATTGAATCTGAGAATGATGTGTAGGGTTCTGCTAAAGAGAGCAGGGCAGGGAAACGGGGCTCTCTGGTTGCTTAAAAGTTATTTTCCTGCCTGAAAATACTGCAGTTAAGAGTCATGCCTTGATCTGAGCCTGTGGTTTCCGGTGTGCTTCCCGGCAAGTCCTTGGACCAACCATCAAGCCAACTCATTGGCCAAGTGTTTGAGTCAAGGAGAACCAAGCCGCTCCTCCATTTTCAAAAGCTCCTGTAATGTAAATGGGAACAGCAATCTTTCCAAGTTATTACCCTGTTAACAGGTTGACAGATATGTGCAAATTGTGACTCACTGCTCAACTTGGCACAAAATTAATGTCTTTCTGCGCCGCGTCTGCTCAAGTGTACACTAGTCAGCACTGCTGTGTTACTGCTTGTTTGCCTGTGTTCCGAAGGTAAAAATTAACGTGATTTGATTCTGCCACAGAGCAGAGTGTGACATATGGTGGAAGTGTGGGAGGAAAGCCTGCCGTTCCTACCTGTCCTTAGCCCTGCTCTCGAAGTGGGGTGCCAGCACACACCGTGAGCTCTGTGCAGACTCGAGCAGCACCCGCTGTCTTGGGAGGCAGCATTCTGGAAAGCACTGCCAAAGACCCCCCTGCCAGACCCCACCCTCAGCAGAAAGAAAGTAATTTTTGTCTCCAGACTTTTAATCTGGTGTGGCAAGCTTCTCATTTCTGTCGTCACTGGTGGCTGATTTGTATCTCGAAGGCTGGATCTATTTTAAAATGAAGTGTTTTGATTTTTGCTTATGGAATCTAGACACTGTTTTCCTCAGCTAAAGGTGCAGCTGACTCTCCCGTCTCTTTTTGGTAAACACATAATGTCACCTGTAACAAAGAAATCTGCATCTCCTTTATGTTAGACCTGCGCAGGGAAAACAGCCTCCTTAAAATTCATTTTGCTCAATGAAATCTTCAGATTGAGCTTACTGAGCTTTATCTAAGATCACAGTACAGGGAAGAAAGAAACCACAGAAAGCCTACCCATGGCCTCTCCCCCTTCCTGTGTTGGCAGCAGCTACCTTTCCTGGGAACTGTCTTTCCTCTGCCACTGCCTTCCTTCCCAAGTAAAAATTGCGTCAATAAAGGAGTCCAGAAATGGCCAAGGATGTTTGCGATTTTATTTGCCCACTTTGAACTCTGGCCAGGGGTGGGGTGGGGGTGGAGGGTTGGTTTGGAGTTCTAGGAAGAGCCTTGTGCCTTGTGAGCTTGGTTCCGACTCTGCACCCATTCCCCTGTCTTCGCAGCCTGCTAAGGAGACTAGTTTTCCAAAAGATGTGTAAAAACCTTCAAGGTGAAAGGTAGAGAGAGCAAATTATGCTGTGGCGTTTGTGCAGAACTAGTGCATATTCATTCACTTTCTCTGTCAGGAGCTATGATGGCTATTGATTGAGGATGGAACAGAAGACACTACCTGCCCCCTCACATTAGCATGTACTTAGCAGTGACCTCCATTCACATAGGACAGAGGCTGTTCGCCTCCTGAGTCTGAAGAAAGGGGTTTAAAGCACACATGCAGAATGAGAAGAGTGGCCAGGCCCGAATGTGGCCAGGGCCCGCTGTAAACTTCGGTGTGAAGACTTGCACGCCTCCTGCTGTTTCCGTAGCCATCAGGCAGTGAAGAAAGCAGGCTGACCTCCTCCTCCCCTGCAGTCCCCTCTGTGTAGCATTTATGCTTAGAAGCCAGGCTGTGTTGTGAGGCAGTCTGGGGTCTGCGGTGACGGCAGACTTCTGTTTTGTAGTCACCCAGGAACCACCACTTCCCAAACAGCTGCCTCTTCACAGAACGGGGCCTTACCTTTAAGAAATGCCTTCGGTTCTTCCTGGGCAAGTGGAGCTTTTGACGCTGGAGCTCAGGTGGTGGTGTTCCTGTGAAGGGACAGGTAGCTGTCGTATGATTCTGTGGGCTCCACCAGTGCTTGAAGATCTCAGAGCCCCTGCTGCTGCGTCTTCCAGGAGCACCCAGCCACCACCACCTCCTCTCGCAGGGCCCCGATCCCATCTGCCCACTGTCCTCCTTATTTACCAGACCTTCTGTAGCCTCTTCCTGTGTCAGTGTGAAAACCTGACAGGTCGATTAAGAGGCTTGCTTTCTGACTTTCTTAGCGGGAATGTCTGCGTTCACTTCTCAACAGATGGCGTTCTTCCATGCCGTGTGTCTCAGGAACTCCAGGTTTCATGTTGCGAAAGAAGAGCAACCCCTCTCCCCGAGAGCACATCTTCTATATGTCCCCGATGTAACAGGCATGTAATTCAATTTGTCACACCCAGCAGATGTGAAATCTAGCACAAGACCCTTAATAGATAGTTTTACATCGCTGTTGGTTTGTACATCCCCTTTGCATCAGTGGGACCGGATGGTGAGTGCAAATAACTGGTATGATTTCCTATCGGGGAGCTGAGCCAGACTGCACTGTGTGCTATCCGGTGCATTCCCAGTAAGCCTCCACTTCGGGGAGAGCTCCTCTGCAAAGAGGGGAGCATGAGCAGAACAGGCCCTGGGGTGGAGGGACCACCCACCAGAGCACTTGGCATCCCTGAGTCCTTGTTAGGTACCCGGCACCATGCCAAATGCTTGATGTCAGTGGTCTCAAGTGAGTGGTAAGCCCTGAGGAATACAGGCTCCACTTGGGCCAGCAGAGTGGACGGTGCCCTTTGGGAGGATAAAAATGGATTGTTAGCTTGCCTGATACGTTCAACAATAGTGAGAGCAGTTGTAGAGTCAGCTAGAGAGTTGGTAATCTTTACATAGAAAGCTAACCAAATGAAAACCAGAGCAAACCAGAAAGTCAAGAAAGCAGAGCTTGGCCGTCAGATCCCACTGAAGATTCTCCTGAAACAGAAACATCCTGTGGATATTGCATAGAAGAGATTACATATTCAAATGAAAAACTAAGTTGCATTCAGAGCATTTTATGTAAAATATACATAGCATCACTGAAAAGGGGGTTCACTCTAAGAAGGCATGTCACAGGAGGAACAAAGGTGCATTTTCATAAGGAGCCTATAACCCTGTTTGTCTTCTTGAAAATGTATCAGACTAGAGCCAGGTGTGGTGGCGTATGCCTTTAATCCCAACACTTGGGAGGCAGAGGCAGAAGCTGTGAGATGGAGACCAGCCTGGCCTATATCATGACTTCCAGTCAGGCTGGGGCTAGAGTGACCCTGTCAAAAACAAACAAGCAAATAAATACAATAAAGTACCAGACCGATGAAAACACATGCATTAAATGTGAAGCAAAGATCTTGGTCCCTGTGGATTTAGTGTTCTCTGTGACTCTGGTTCATTCATGTCCTTCTTTTCCCACCTAGATACGTTGATGATGTGATCAGCCGCATTGACAGGATGTTTCCAGAAATGTCCATCCACCTATCCAGACCCAATGGGACATCAGCAATGCTTCTGGTAAGATCTGCTTGCTTGTTTTAGGGGATATGTGGAAGAAAAAGTTGCCTTCAAAATCCACTCTTGCTGGAACCAGCTCAATCAATAAAGCGCCTGAGTTTGGACCCCTGGGACTGATGTAAAAACTGGGTGTGGTGGCCTGCACCCGTCCTAGTGCCGGGCAGATGAAGACAGGGGTCTGGGGGCTTGCTGTCCAGGCAGTCTAGCTGAATCATCTAGGTTCAATAAGAGACCCTGCCTCAAAAACGGTGGAGAGTGACAAAGACATACCTGCACATAAATGCGTGTCCACAAACACGTACACATGAATACACCGCACATAAAAAGAACTCTCTGTCCTGTGTTAAAGAAGTCCCAGAGACTGGAAATGAAATCCCAGTTCAAGGGTGAAAATGGGTTTTTTCCTGACATTCGTTAGGTTTTGAAACCAGGGAGGAAAGGCACAGTAAGCCGGTTCACCTCCAGCCATTCCATGTGCAAGCATCCATGTCCCAAACAACGTTTGGGTGAATGTCTTATGTGTTCCCGAGGGGGCACATTAGACGGGAGAGATGCTCAGCCGTGGGATCCTGCTAAAGAGAACGTCCTGTTACCACAGAGCCAGCTTCTATGGGAGTCCTTACAGTGCTCACGTGTGGGGGAAAGCACCTGACCCTTTCACCAGTGACTTCTGGTTTTGTTCTTTCTTATTTGGGTTTTCGTCCAGAAATGTGGCCTCACCGTCCACTGATGTTTGTATTTTCATGGATTCACCAAAGACAATGTTTTGGAATCCAGTGACTCTGAAATGTGTCACGGTGTCCGTGAGAAGGTTTGCCAGTGTCTGCGTGGTGATGAGTGCCTGAGGAGCCCTTCCCAGGACACAGGATGCAGGGGGCACCACATCTCATGGCAGCAGGGCTTCTGCAGGGATGGACTTTGGTGGGTATCGGCAAGGCGAGGCTCTTCATCTCGCCACCTTGGTTCCCCTGTGGCCTCCCCCGTGGTAGCATTTTCTTGTGTATAATCTTACAAATCCTAGTCACTCAGATGGGCCATTCTGCACCCGGTCATTGATCTTAGGAGAAAGGCTGATTGTGCGTGCAAACTTATTTTGTCCTATGAGTGGAAAGGATGTAGCTTTCCAAGTGTACAATATTTCATTTGCGACATTCATCTGGGCAATGTGCTGCTTTTCTGTAAAAATCTTTCAGCTAAGAGAAAACGAGATAGTACAGTATTCTTTTGATAGGGAAAGAAAGTAATTTTCTTTGTATAAAAGGTATCTGTCTGCAAAACACACAGTATTTCCTGCCTCCCTCAAACGTACCAATCATGTGTGTAAAGATGCTGCAGACCCCACAGAACACATAGATCCTGCTTTTGGAGTCTTTGACAGGGGCCAGAGAGTTAATGAAGATACAAATGAAGCATCCTCAGCAGTACAGGTTTGTTCACGTTGTCTGGGTCATTGAGCCTCCATTCCATGAGGAAGGTAAGAATTTGGCATTGAAGGGAACAAGTGGGGTGAGCAGAGGCAGGCAGGCCGAGGCATTTGAGTTACTCCCACCTGACATGGGAACCCATCAACCTCGGCCACCTGCTCACAGAGCTTCCATTCTGGAAGGCTCCATTCAGGGGAAGGATCCCACATTACAACCTGTGCCTACCCAGCTAGGGGCTGTTGAGGTCTGTGTGGCTCTGGTGGGCTACTGTCACCTTTTGTCAGTGACACAGGACAACGCGGCCAGTGGTGCTTTTGCTTATAGTTGAGCTGGGTGATTCGGTGCAGTCTCATGGGCGTATACTGACAGGACAGCCTCATTTCGCTTCTCATCAGAAGCAGTGGTGTTTCTAGACTGTGCCTCTGGCACACCATCTTCTGGATAGAAGTGGGAGGGAATTGCCACCTTGTGGTGGGGGTCTAGGCAAACTACCGCCATCTCCTCACCACCTTTGCCAGTCTCCCACTCCCTGACTTTGGTAGCCAGGGTTGGAGCTCTGCAGTGTACCACTGTGCAAGGCATAGACAAGAAGAGAAAGGGCTTTCTGGAGATGGATCTAGAGAGTTCTATGGTGTACCACTGTGCGAGGCATAGACAAGAAGAGAAAGGGCTTTCTGGAGATGGATCTAGAGAGTTCTATGGTGTACCACTGTGCGAGGCATAGACAAGAAGAGAAAGGGCTTTCTGGAGATGGATCTAGAGAGTTCTATGGTGTACCACTGTGCGAGGCATAGACAAGAAGAGAAAGGGCTTTCTGGAGATGGATCTAGAGAGTTCTACGGTGCACCACTGTGCGAGGCAGAGACAAGAAGAGAAAGGGCTTTCTGGAGATGGATCTAGGGAGCGCTGCAGTGTACCACTGTGCGAGGTATAGACAAGAAGAGAAAGGGCTTTCTGGAGATGGATCTAGAGAGCTGGGCAGCAGGTGGGACTGGGGAGAGGGACAGCTGGGGGCTGTTGGAGCAGGACAGGACAGCATCTCTGCTGTCCTTGACAGCATCCTTGACCCTCCTGAAGCAGCCAGCAGAAAGCATCTGACTCACTTCATCAAGCTTGGGTTTTGTATGGCTGCTTTGTGATGCTGGCAGTTCACGGAATAAGCACTCAGGCCCAGGGGACAAACGCTAGGTTCCATATCAGCTCCAGACATGGAACAGTGTCCTTCTGGGTTCCTGGATCCCAGGGCTCAAGGTCTCCCACCCCTGTTAAACAACCTGGAAGGGACCTCCTGTGGGCCTGACTGGGCTGCCCTACAGAGTGGTGAGGAGCAGAGGGAAAATAATTCCCCAGGGAAGATGCAGGGCTGAGAAAGCAACTCTTTATGATAAATGAACAACAGCACAGACAGAGCCTGTGGCTTACACAGCACTTACCTTATTTGATCCTCCCAGATGCCCCAGCTGTGTTCATCTGACAACTAGAGGGCTGGGACTCCACCCTACCACCAAGTCCCAGGATACCAGCCTCCTCTAAGGTGATGGCATGAAAAGACTTTTTAGACTACCAGGCACCAGGACTCTGTAATGTGTATATAGATTGTAAAGCTCACCACTGTGTTTGAGAAGCAGGACAGAGCCAGCAGGTGCTCATCCCCAGACCCTGCCTTAGGCCTCCTTCCTGAGAACAGCCCCTCTTCTCCATTCTAGGCCAGTGTGCCCCCTGTGCATGCGTCCCTCCCTGTCATCGTCATGAACTATATTAAAATAACAAACATTGTACTGCGTGCTGTATTTGCCATGTCCTGTTCTTGGTCATATCTGATGGCTTGACCATCATTGTCACCTTACAGTCCATTCCGTGACAGCTCACATGTCACATTGTCACCTTACAGTCCGTTCCGTGACAATTCACATGCTCTTGCTTTTGTCAAGGCATGTTGGGATTCCTTCCAACTTTGCATTTTAAATAATGGGGAGAGTACGCCTCAGCCCAAGCCCTGGAGGCAGTACAGGTCCTTCCTTAGGGTAGGGTACAAGTGTAGACAGCTTTCCTAGGAGCCACCTGAGTTGTGAAATGCCCAAGCACCAGAAACAGTGATTGCCTTGGTACCTCAGGGGCATGTTCCATTGAGCTTGCTGACATTCAACGCCGAGTAAGTAGAAAGGGGGTTCTTGGCTGGCTTGTGCGTCTGTGAGGAAACCAGCAGTCACCGAACCGGCCGGCCCATTGACAAAAGGCAGGTTTGTGAGAGCCCCTGTTGGTGCCCTCGCTTTCCAAACAGTTGCTGCCAGGCAGCCTGCAGTTCGGAGCCCTCAGCCTTTGTTGGCAGCCATGCCACTGTTAGAAGGCACAACGAGAACAGGGCAGGTCGGCACTTTCTGAGCTTCTGTCTTAGGCAGGTGAGGTGAGCTTGGTTCATCTGAAGCCAAAGTAGCTCTTTGTTGCTGGCCTCGAAGCACCAGGGCTTCCATCCACTCAGAAACAGGAGCAGTCCTCCTCTACCCAGGAATGTTCCACCCGGAAAAACATACTAGAACCTTCACCCTCAAGTTAGTACATGCTAGGACCCCATAGGTGCCTGGTAAATATTTGCTTGCTGAGTGCAGGAATAATAGAAGAAAAGCCTGGTTGACTTCCACTCATGCTCCTTGGCCCACAGTGGCTAGGATGGAGATCTGCTCCTGGCTCCTCAGAAGAGAAGGAAGGAGGGATTCAGAACTAGCATGATCCCAGAACCTACCGGACAGCTGCTGGCGTGGCTGCCTCTGGTGTCTTTTTGCACTGGATCATCACCTGTAGCCTCTACACTCCAAATCTAGCTAAGTGGCATGTAAGCTCAGCCTCATGCATAATCAAGGGTAATGGCTGTCTCTGCTCGTCTGGGAGTTCTGCTGTTGTGTAAGTTAGTAACTCGTGATATAATGAATCCTCTTTCTGTTCTTTGAAGGGATGAGCTCAGTCATCCAAAAATAAATCTAGCCATGTTGATATTTAGTTTCAGTTAATCTACCGCCTAACATCCCATTATTAATTTTCCTCCAACAGTCAAAATATTGTAAGAGCTTAACTGAGTCAGAGACTGGAACAAGCTGCTGGCTTCTCTCATCATTTAAAACATTATAATCTCCAGCTTTTGACTGATGCACTAGGTCTAAGAATATAGGAAGATAGAGCTCCACGATCTTTTAATACTCTTTCTTTAGATGTTACTGGATTTACAGAACCCTAAAGCTCACTCGCCCCTCTCTCTAAACCACACTAGCAGTCCTTCAAGATCCTCACCACACCGAGCCGAGCCTCAGTGGCACATCTTTTCTTGAACTATCGGGCATGTTATTCTATCTCCTCTGCCCCCAGCTGTTTGAGACCTTGCTGACTTGAATTTCTCCACTGGGCTCATACCTGAGTGGGCCCAGACTCACTGGTATAGTTTCCAGCAAATGCATCTTCCTGGTGGGCTGCTCAGAAATCCTGAGTCAGTGGTTCTGGGTGGAGCCCCAGATTTTCACCTCCCATGTGCCCCAAGAGTATCTTAAGCTGTGGAGTACATTTTGAGAAACCCTGGGGAGGTGACAA